TTGCTCCTAAGGCAGAGCTTTGTTCTCCCGCTAGTCCTCATCCGTCCCCCAAACGCCCAGGGTTTCCCAGCCCGCCTGGGGGGATGTTTGTGTATCCGAGTCACTCCTGTGGATTCACAGCCTTTGCGGCTAGAAAATGAACCCGCTGTCCAGCTAAGGGCCAAGCAGGATCTCCCATCCAGCTCCTATAGCAAAGCAGGGTGAGAATGCTGACCAGAGGGGTGGGGGCTGCAGGGTCGCTGTGTGCTGGGGAGCTGGGTGTTTACAGCTATGGCCACACGGCCTCCCATGTGTGATCTGAGCTGGGAGTGGAAATGGAGCCTTGCATAGCCTGCTGCCATGCCAGGACTGGCAGAAATGGTGTGACCCCTCTGCACAGAGCCAGGGCCTCCTGTGAGCACCAGGCGAGAAAAACGAGCCGAGCCCCCTTCCCGCACAAAGCGGAGGCTGAGGGTGCTCAGCTAGTGGGCTTGTTTGCCCAGTGCCCGGGAGCTGGGATCCTTCTAGTGAAGGGGGGGCGTTCTCAGCAGGCTCTGCAATCTATGGGCTGGCTTGGCGCCTTCTGGCTGGAGCCGCTGCCTTGCTCTGTAAAGGACGTCCTTGGCAGGACTCCAGGAAGCACTGCAGCATCTGTGGGTTCTGGAGGAAGAGTTTACAGCGAATCCTCTGGGTAGAGTCTGAGGCTCAAAGATTCTGGCCCCTCGGCAGCTTTCTGTGCTGCGTAAGCTGGAGCTGGTGGGGGCCTCCTGCCCAGCCCGCGGGGGCTCTGCATCCGTATTCGCTGTCCCAGCTTGGAACGTGCTCGTGTTGGCTGGAGGGGCCCCGGGCTCGGAGGCTCATTATCGCTCAGAACAGCTGAGGCGCAACAAACGGAGCTTAGCACTGTTTGGTGTAAAGGCACCAGCGCCTTGCAGCCCCGTGCCCAGCAACAGGAGACTCCTGGCTGAGTCACAACTCTGGCATGGCGTTGCTAAGGGAGAGGAGCTAGTCACCTCTGAATTTCAGGCGCTTGGTTTTATTTTTGACAGTGACTTTGGAGGCTGACTCAGTCTAGTTAATCATGGACAGATGCCCATCGATCTTATTTCCTGCAGGCCTGGGTCCAGAAGGGAGTATGTCCTAGGCAGTCCTGGCAGGTCGGCTCCACAGGCCCACGAGCCCGTGCGTGCGTTTGAAAGCGCTAAACCGCAGGTCTCCAGGGCGTCTTGCTGGAATCGTTGAAAGGTGTAGAGTGGTCAGCGAGCCAATCAAAGCCGGAGTCGGTGTTGGGGGAACCGGGGCCTTTGATTGTCAAAGTGTTGGCTGCAGAAATTCTAAAATGGCCCCCAGGCAAATTTGAGAGTCGTTTCCCCGAAAGACCATCGGAAAGTCTGGGTCTTAGGGAGATATGAAACCAAGCCCCTCCTCTGCTCTGCCTCAGAACACCTCTGGCTTCGGGGCTCCTAGCCAGGCAGAGACTGCTCCAGCCCTTGCTGATCACGGCTGGAATGGACTCTGGAAAGCTGGTGGGTTTCTGGACCAGCCAGGAGTGACACGGGTGTGACTCCAAACTCTGCTTCTGGGCCTCTCCCAAGCTCCTGAGTTGGGAGCAGCACGTCAGGGGGTGCGAAGGCCATTCTGGCCTGGAGCCTCCTCCCCATCAGCAGGAGGGCCCCGCTGCCCTGGCAGCCCCCGAACAGCGAGCGCATGCTCACGCGGCCGGAGAAGCTGCCGAAATGTGTGTGACTCGGGAGGGTAGTGACGCTGCCGGTGGTGCACAGACTAAATAAAGGGCCGTGCTCCATTACTCAGCATCCTCGCCCGGCCAGGCGTGCTCCGCAGCCCCGCGGGAGCCGCTGCAGGAAATGGCATGTTGCTATGATACAGTTTGCTGTAGCAATGACGGTGCTCAGAGGAGCCGAAATCTGCACAAAAGGGAAAGTCGCCCAGACTGGAAGAGGGGAGGAGGCATCCGGAGACCTTTATTTAAAACTTAGGAACTCTAACAAGGGGGTGTGTGGGGCAGGGTGTCGTGGGGGGGGGGGCGAGGGTGCAGTCCTGCCCAGACAGGGGGATAAAGGCTCTATACAGACTCTGTCCAAGCTCCTTTGAGCGTGCAGAGATCTGTGCTGGGTCCCATGTCCGTTAGCTGGGTCCCAGTGCAGCGGGGGGGCCCCGTGACCTGTTCTGACGGCAGAGCCTGTGTCTATCTGTGCCAGAGCTCGAGCTGCCGAACTGGCTTTGGAAGAGGGGCCTGGAAACCGGCTGCCTAGCGGAGCTCAGCCCTGCTGGGCTCTGGCTACCTTAACCAGCAGCCTCTGACTCAGTGGGAGCGGGGTCCGCTCGGTGCTCCGGGGACAGCTGGGAACGGAGGGATTTGCTGGTGCCAGATCTGCCAGCCACAGACAAGGTGATTCGGGCCTAAGGCTGGGCCAGGACTCTCCGGATGGATCCGCAGGGTGCAGCGTTCTGGGGGCTTCAGCTGCTTTCTCGGCATGCTGGCTGCCTCCTCCACAGACGAGCAGCGTGTTCCCACGGGGCACGCCAGGGGCGGGCCAGGCTTTCGGGCAGTTATGGCAGGTGGGAGCACAGGCAGCTGGCAGGGGGCTCTCGCGTGCAGGCTGGTGGTGACTCTCCCTCCTGGGCCAGGAGCCTTAACTGGCCCAGACTGGAGCATCCGAGTCCGATTGCTCAAAAGCGGGTGCCCTGTGCTGGAGCCGGGTCGGCTGGGGCCACCCTATGCTGAATTTTGCAGTGAGTCTGAATTCCTCCAGTCCCCAGGAGTCCGGAGTGCTCAGCACTTCTGGAAAATCCGGCTCAAGGCGTTTTGGGCTCCCAGAATGGGAGACCCCTCCCCAGATGGGGATCACTCGGGGACAGATGTGACCCTAACGAACGGCGCACGTCTGAGATTAACAGACGCACGGTGGAGCTGTCAGGAGCCGCTCCCTCTGTACAGTCCCATCCCCAGCTCCCTCATGGCCTATCCCTGCGGCTCTGGCTCTGGGTAAGCTGCTCGGTAACAGCGTCCAGTCATTCGTACAGTTTGCAGTGTTCTTGTGGCTGTGTTGGTCCCAGGCATGAGAGAGACAAGGTGGGCGAGGAAAGCGTGTCTCACCCGCCTTGTCTCTAGGGTGCGTGGTGAGCTGATTCCTGTCTGGTTCCCCGTCCCCAGCCTTCTAGGTTTCCTGAACGCTCACTGGGCTGTTGGCTCGTGGAACTGCACTATCCGTCCCGTGATCTGCTAACCTCCTCTCCATGGTTCAGGGGATTCCAACATGCAGCCCACAACTCCGCTGTGTTTCAGTACCAGGCCTCGGCATGCAGCACTCCACCAGCGAGCAGATGGCAGCCCTGCACAGCACCTGGGGGGCTGGTCTCGGGGTTCTGGCATGGCCCTTGGCTGGGCGGAGTTGATGTGTCCTGCTCTGTGATAGTGGGAGGGCTCTGCAGGGTTAGCACGTGTGTCCCGCTAGGATTCCCCGAAAGCCCGTTGAGGGCTGGGGGGGGGGGGGGGGGGGGGGGGGGGCTGCCTGCTGTGCCAGGGGATGGGGAGATCAGAATGTTCTCCCTCTCCGGGGCTGAACAGGGAATGAATAGGTCTCCGTGCTCAGCCTGTCCACACAGACGAGGAAACCCTGCTCCGGGTGGTTTATTTCCCCCTCCCTTCATGGAGGAGAGGGATATTTCAATGGGAGGCAGTTTGGGGCAGGGCCTTGTCCTCTTGTCTGCCAAGTTCCTGGTTGGTGCTGTGCATCGGCCCGTATGGCGGAGCCTTCTCTTAGCCAGCGACGGGGGAGGAGAGCTACATTCTCATGGCCAAAAACTCCGGCAGAGAATTAGCCTATTCTCCTCTCACCCTTCCGGAAATGTGAACTGTCATCATCCATAATTCATCAGGCGCTGCGCTCCATCAAGGGGCCATTTGACACCAGGCCTGGGTGCTCGGACTCCCTCCCTCGCAGTGGGAAAGTGCCGGCCAAGAGTATTCCCAAGGGGCTGCCGACAGGAAGCGTGTCCTGTTTCCGCACCCTCGGGGTGGGGGATTCTTTTGGTGAAAGAGGAAAAAAGAATCGTGAATTCAACAAGGACTCGGGTGTCTCTGCTTCCCCATTTCATAAATGAACAGCTGCTGCTCACCCCTCCCGGAAGCTTAGGCCATTGTAAAGCCAAATATAAAACTGTAACAGTGTTTTTAAGTAGCAGTGAGCTGATTGCTCCATTACTGTTTACTGAGGCATTTACAATTGCACACAGAATGCACTTCAAATAAAAACATGATGGGATGCCGACTTTAATGGCTGACATTTGCATTTGAGGGCTGGGTGGGTGGGTAGGTAGCAGTGCACGCACCCTGCCAGCTCCGTCAGAAATCCTGCAGAATACAGAATTGGAGTTCCTCTATGGCCTATTCTCCAAACACGGCACATTTTTATGTACCCAAAAAAGGGGGGAATCTGGCTGACTGTGGTGGTGATATGTTTTCTTCCAGGTCATTGATAAAAATGTTAAATAGTGCAAGGCCAAAAACAGATCCCTGCAGGACCCCACTAGAGAAACACCTGCTCAGTAGTTACATTTTCAGATCTATCTGTTAGCTGGCTTTTCATCCATTTAACGTGCCATGTTAATTTTATATCATTCTAGTTTTTAATCAAAATGTCGTGTGGTACCAAGTCAAACACCTTACCGTAGTCTTAGTATATTACATCAACATTATCACCTTTATCAACCAAACTTGTAATCTCATCAAAAAAATGATATCAGATTAGTTTGACAGGTTCTATTGTCCATAAACCCAGACTGATTGGCATTAATTATATTACCTGGGCAGTTCTGTAGCGATGTCACCATCAGCTGTGCCTGGAATTAACATGCTGGCACCTGGGAGAGTGAACAGGCCTGCCTGGCCTGCCCTCGCCAGGCTCCGGGAATAACGGACCGCCTAGCTCCTGTCTAGTACAATCCAGGGGTGTGGAACATGTCTCCACTAACAGCTCACCTCCCTCTCTCTGTTGCAGGCTCAGCGTATTATGACAACGTCCGCCCCTTGGCCTACCCCGATTCGGACGCCGTGCTCATCTGCTTTGACATCAGCCGCCCAGAGACGCTGGACAGTGTACTCAAGAAGGTCAGTGTCCGATGCTCTGTCAGGGCCGCCGTGCCAATACAGCCCAGGGTGCCTCTCCCAGAGGCCTGCTGTGCCTCTGGGAATTTGTAGCCCGAGGCCTGTGGAAATGGGGTCAGGGCATTGCCATGGGCCAGGTGAATGCCCTGTTGACCCTCTAGGTCCGGCAGTGTGTCCTGGCCGTTGTCTAACACCCAGCTCAGAATGGTGTCAGGCTCTCCGCTCGCAGGGACGGGGCCCTGAGTGGTGGGGCAAGATGGCCTATGCACACCTGCTCACCCGGTGCGCTTCCCCCTCCCTCAGGGTGCTCACACTGCCTGGGAAAGGACCAGCTCTTTCCTGGAGTGAGTTTCCTGATGCCTGTGCCCTTCTGGAGGGGCCAGTCCCCTGCCGTGAGCCAGGTCGGAGGCCACGTTTCTCATCCCTACCCCTGTCAGCAGCTACTGTCTCCCCCCACCTGGGCTGCGGCAGAAAGTGACACATTTCAATCTGAAAGGAGCCCGTATGAATAATGCAGCTCCTGGAGTGCTGGAGAAGGTGGCTTGGCTGGTGTTGTTCTGTTTTTAATGAAGACCTCGGAAAGCGCTGTGCATCTCAAAGCCCTGGTTAGCACCCCCAGGAGCCGGTGCGCTAGGAATTAGCTCACGGCAGAGTCGAGAAGTGGCCTCCGGTGACTGGAGTGTTCGTTAGCTGGCTCAGTCCCCCTCAGGTCAGTGTGGACGGAGCTGGCAGGGTGTCTCTGCTTCCCCGTTTCATAAATGAACAGCTGCTGCTCACCCCTCCCGGAAGCTTAGGCCATTGTAAAGCCAAATATAAAACTGTAACAGGGCCAGACTCGGATGGGCCATTACATTCCGTCGACTGAGATTCCTCCTGCAATTTCCAGTAGGTTCTCACTGCGGTGCATCATTGCTGTGCTCTGAAACAGCTGCTCTGTCCCACTCCAGAGGGGCGCCGTGACTGATATCTGCTTTGAAAAGCACTTTGGAGTCCTGTGGAGTGAAAGGCCCTACAGAAATCTATTGTTGCTCCCGCTAACAAGCCCCAAGATACTGGACTGGCCTAGACTCTGGCTTCTGAATAAGTCACATTGTGATGTCTGGCCTGGTGACCCCCCAAAGTTTGGCCAACTGCTGAGCTGAAGCAAATGCCTCTTGTTCAGCTGTTCCTGCTGATAGGGAGCACTGGGAGGTGGGGCTGGGACTGCGAGATCCTGGCGAAGGGGACAAAGACCCTTTAACAACTCAGTCAGTGGCTCAGTGTTTGAATCCAAAGCAGCTCCCTGGATCTGGCTCTCGCTGTTTGGAGGGCGGCAGGCTGCATGCGGACAGTAAGGAGACTCATTGCCCAGTTTAAGGATCTGCAGAATAATAGCGACAGCAAATCACTGCTACCTTAATGAGCAAGAAACCCACTAATAACTGTCTTGAGCTGGCATTTATTTATGGCTCTGTCTGCAGACATTCCTGCGCTGTTAAATGCAAGATCTTCCCCGCACAGCCTTCCCAGATGCCTCAAATACAATTAGGCAATGTCTTTTTGATATGGCAACTTAAAATAAACCCTAAATCACCAGGGATTTCTTAAGTACCTCTGAGTAGATGCCTTGTTTCCTTTGGCGCAGGTTTTGCAGCCTTCAGAGGTGAGGAGAATGCCTAAGACACCATGAAGTGGAAATAGGGTTTAGCTTTTGATATCAAAGGAGTAAGGATAATAAAGCTGCCTATTCCAGCCCTGGATCAAGATGCTAATTCAGCAGAGGAATCTTTATTATCACTGTCCATCTGATGCCTAGGATGCAAAACCTGAACGAGTGTTTGATTCGTGGAGCCTTAGTTTATATAAACAGCACCTCGCACTGAGGGGGAAGGAGCCACCTGAGAGAATCCAAACAAACAGCTTGCTAGTTTATACAGCCTGGGCTTTCGTGGTGCACTGCCTTAATCCTGACAGGTATTGGCAGTGCAGCCCTGTGCCTGGGACCTACGGCAAACTCCAGTCCCTGTGTGCCCCTCTCCAGCATCTGCCTCATGCAGATTAACTTCTGCCTGGTTACAGACCAGAATCAGGTCCCTCTCTCTCCAGTGCAGGGGACTGGGTGTCATTTCGGGGCTGCAGTCGTTTGGAGCCTAGTTCGGGTGATCCTGCTGCTCCACCTTCTCCGGGATCTCTATCCCCTGGAAGAATGCTGATGTTTGCGTTCAAGCTACAAAGGAATTTTAGGCACCTGCCATCAGAAGTCTGAGTCATGGCACCTGGCAGTGATGTCCGAGACCGTGGAATCTCCCGTGAGCTGTGCAATCCGCTGCTGGGGCAGTGGAATTGCTGAGCAGCACAGAGGCTGCGCGTGTCCCTGGCCCCAGGTGTGGACAGTCTGTGGGGAAGCAAACACTGAGCCCCACCCCCCTGGTGGAATAGATGGTTTTTCTCTCTCTCCAAGTCCAGCTGTGGCTGCTCTGCCCTGACGTTTGCAGAATGAAACCGGTGCTATTCTGAGCCATGTATTTTTCCATCAGACCGTGGGCACCAGGTCATTTTTTAATTGCCTAGAATATTTTCCCATCAGCTCCTCTAGTAGGATATTGGTAGTTCTGAGTCAAGGCTGGCTGAGTTGAGATGCTGGGAGTTTCTGCTCACCGTCCGGCTGCACCTCCCAGCACTGAGCACGTCGCCAGGTAGCTGACTCCAGATCACAGCAAGGGCGACCTAGACAAATCTTCTTTGGAGAGGGGTGGGGGGCGAAGCGGTCACAGGGATGGTTTTATTTTCTGCTGCAGCCACTGAGCTGCCAGTGAGAGCAGAGGAAATGGCCTTTTGATGCCCTCGCTTGTTCCTACAGGGCTCCCAGTTCCGAAGGCCACTGGCCATGGCTGTGTTCTGAAGTCTGACGGGCTTTGATGGCTCCCAACTGCAAACCAATTCCGTGTTTGCTGTGCAAATAGCTCCCTGCTGACTGCGGTGTCTTGGAAACAGTTGTGCAGAGGGCTCAGCTGGGGCACCCTTTGAAGTGCCAGATCTGTGCACCAGACTGTGTGGTCGTTACTTGTCCATAGTTAAGCCCAGAAGTGGCCTCCTGGGGGCCCACGGTGGGGGAGGGGAGCTTAGGCTTAGCAGGTCTGCAAGGCACATCTGGAACAAGTGAGCAGAAAGCCCCCTATTCAAGAGACACTCTGCTAATTCCCTGCCTGTGACCGTCAATAACGTGCCCTGGTGAGCTCTCACCCTTCGAACAGCTGTGACCCCAGCTTGGAAACGGCATCTGCGCTGGCCGGCTTTGCAGCTTGTCCCAGCCTCAGCCCATTAAAGCCTCATGTTCGACTGTCCCGGTGTTTTCCCATCCTGGCCTCCAGGGACCCAGCCACTCCCAGCATGTGTATTGGCTGAACGTTTGTAATGGGATATGGCAAAGTCCCCTCTGGTGTGTCTAGCTTCAGCGAATCCAGGTGCGGTTTGCATACCCCTTCCCCCCACCCCTGTGTCTCATGGACCCCGGGCCTCTTTGACACCAGTCCCCCTCCTTGTGCCACTGATTTGGGTTTGCTGGGGCTCCTGCATCTGGCTAGGGACGCCTGTTCCGAACCAAGCACCCACGCAAACTCGCCCCGCGGTCACTGTGGAGGCGTATTGGGCCAGTCTGCTTGTTTCGGTGTCTGTGCTGCCCTAGGCTTGGCTTGCGAGGGAGATCTGCCAGTCAGGCTGGCTTGGTGGCCCCTGAGGGAGCCGGGTCAGGGAGTGCGGGAGGGAGAAATGCACCCAGGTTTGCTTTCCTGAGGTGCCCCCATTATGCCCCCCTGCTGGCCGGAAGGGGCTGTGCCCGAAGGGCTGAGTCTGCTAATGCCCTTTGCTGGCTCCTGCTGTTCCCCGGGCGGCTGTCCAGCTGCCAGGACGAAGGTGGGGTGGGGGAGAGCCCTGCGAGCTGCCATCTCACCCCGCCCCCGCTTTGCTCTCTCCCGCAGTGGCAAGGGGAGACCCAGGAGTTCTGCCCCAATGCGAAGATCGTGCTGGTTGGCTGCAAGCTGGACATGCGGACAGATCTGAACATCCTCCGGGAGCTCTCCAAGCAGCGCCTCATCCCCATCACACACGAGCAGGTGTGCTTCTCCGGGGGGGGCTCTGGGGGGCAATGCCCTACGTCCTGCTAGCCCCAGGCAGCCCAGCTCCCGTGGGACTGTCTCTGCCTGCTCCAGGGCTGGTTTGACCCAGGCTCCATGGAGCAGGCAGCCCTGGCTCACAGACGCTCTTCTCTCTGCCCTCGAGGCGGGCTGGGTATATTCTTAGCGCTCTCACTGAATATTCAGGTTGCGGGCGCCTCCCAGGAGCCGTTACTCTGCACACAGGCGTCAGTTTCTGGTTAGCACCTAACAGCTAAAATTACTTTCCTAGAAGGTGATGAAGACACTTGATCTCGCCTATAAAGTGGGTGGTAAAGGCAGCGGGGGGTGGGGCTGCTCTAAGGTGGAAGGGCTCCCGGAAGCTCTTTCTCCAGGCTGGGAAATGAGGCTGCAGTTCTCTCTCCCCCTATTCCTGCTCGGTGATAAGGGTGACTTGCCGGGCCGGCTGCGGCTGCTGCAGCCTAGGTGGAGTGAAAGCCACAAGCCAGCGTTTAGTGACTGCAGTTGGGGGCAGAGCCCTAGCGCTGAATGTCACTTATCAGAGCAGATCATGGCCCGTTGGAGGCTGTTGTGCAAACTGGCAACACCCTCTACTTCTGATCACGAGAGACCTCCGCTTGGAGCAAGCTGTGAGTAAGACAGAGGCCTGGTCTACACTACGACTTTAATTCGGATTTAGCTGCGTTAATCCGAATTAATCCTTAACCCGTCCACACAACGGAGCCAGTTACTTCGAATTAAAGGGCACTTAAAATCGATTTCTGTACTCCACCCCGACGAGCGGAGTAGCACCAAAATCGATTTTGTTAATTCGAATTAGGGGTAGTGTGGCCGCACACCACCGAATTAATGTGGTTAAAAACCGAATTAATGTGCTTAGTGTGGCCGCGCACAATCGAATTTATACAACCTGTTTCCCAAATTCGAATTATCTAAATTCGGATTAATCCCGTAGTGTAGACATACCCTGAGAAAGCTGCTGTCTGTGGGTGCGTCTAGCACCAGCGCTGGGCTTCATTCCGAACTGCTGCTCCAAGGAGGCCACTGCTCCATTACCCCGAGACTGGCCCTCAGGTCGGGTGCCCTGCAGGCCACAGGATGAGCCATTCACTGTCAGGTGTGTGAACACATCCCTGGGTGTGACACGTTCCCCCAGAGCACGCAGGAGTGTGATCACAGACGGACTCGGTCCTGCCTTCTGCTGCTTTGGTACATGCTGCCCAGTACCCGATAACCTCTCCAAGGCACTGCTGCCAATTCTGCGAAATGCATGGGAATTGCCGCACTGTCTTTGATTGGGGGGGGGGGGAGTTTTACCTGCCAGATTTCAATGGAGTGAACGGGGGTGAAAGCCCCAAAGGAAAAATTCACCCTTGTGCAGGGCGCCAGTGCAAGGCCCACTGAAGCTGGAGCCTTTCCAATCTGTTTAATCAAATTGATGCAAACCGGCGCGTGGACGCGTGTTTTGGTGCAAGAGCAGTTTATTTCAGTTTGTCTTAAACGAATTCCTAACTGATACAAACTAATCTGAAATTAACCTGATTTAAACTGAAATCGGCACATCCACCCAGCGGTTTGCACCATTTAACATCCCGTCTTTGGTGAAATGGCACAACTGTGTGCAGCCGAGGTCTGAGACAGCAGCACTTTGCTCCTGAGCTCAGTCCTCAGCCTCGTCTCTTTGGCATTGCTGGGGGGTGGGGGAGAGACGTGTTGCACCGGCTGCAGCCTCCTGGCATCCCCTTCGGAGTTGTCGGGCTGTGGGCTGAAACCGGTTCTCCGTTTATGGCGCCACAGCGTCAGCTTGCAGGGGAGGGATGAATGATGCTGTGGTTTTGCTTGTTCTGATGCTGGTAACTTGTGCTGAGGACACAAGGTCACTCACTGGGACGAGGGGATGATTTCCCCTCCGGGTTCACCAGCGGGGTGTCGGTGCAGGCCTGGCAGCTGAGATGGTGGCACAAACACGCGTTGGAGACGCACAGCTCACAAGTCCTCCCACTGCCCCTTCTAGGTGCCAGGGCTCCAGTCATTTAAGGAGCAGGTCTCTGGCTGAGTGATGAGCAAATTCCCACGCTTAGGCAGCGGGGGTTTAGGGTCCACTATCCAGAACTGGAGGGGAGGGATTCCGTCTGCCATGGGACCTGTGTGGGGTTAAGGCACTGGCCTGGGGAGCTCTTGGTTCAACGGGTGACCTTGGAAAAGTCTCTACTACTCCCTGGGCCTCAGTTCCTTGCCTGTAAAATGGGGACAATAATCCGGCCTTTGTCTATTTGACAGGCCAGGGAGGTCTCAGTGTATACCCAGCACAATGGGACCCCAGTCTCAAATAATTCATGGTAATAATGTGCCAATCACAAGAGAACGGTCTAATAGATGGGAAACTGCCTGGACAGCCAGTGCCTGGTAACTCTGGGGCCCTTGCACCAGGACAAGCTGGGAGCAAAGGGTGGAGAGAAGAAAGAAGCTGTTTCTTGTAGTTAGAAGTGGGGGTGACGAAACCCAAACCAGCCTGTTCTCTCACTGCCCACAGGCAGTCGGACTCGTTGAAGGTGCCATTTATCTCGATTATCTAACCATGGTGAGCACGGCAGTTACTGTCCCTTGTCTCCCCACAACGGCTGAGCGGCTCTAACTTCCGCCAGCAGCACAAAAATGCCCCCCCATCCCTCCCTTGCTGGCCTCTCTGTGTGTAACGTGGTCCCAGCCCTACTGCTTGTTGAGGCTGGCCTGTGGAAATGGCACAGCCCCGCACGAGCTCCTGGAGCCCTGCCTGGGCACAAGCGTCCAGCGTGGCAGAGCTCCGGCATGTGGAGCTGCCCGAGGCCTGGGTGGCAGTTGAGTAAGTCATTACGTGTTCTTAATCCCAGGCCACGCTGCCTGCCCGGGGGCCAGGAATGTGAAGAACCTGGAATTGAATGCCTAGTTCGGGGGAGGATTTGTACCCAGCCCTCTCGCGCCTCGGACACCAAGTGAGAGTCGGGGGGAGGAGGAGGAAGGCCGCCTTGCCCTCCTGACAGCTGAGAACGGGCCCTCCTGCCTGTCACAGGCTGATTCTGCCCACAGCTGGGATCTCAGTGAACCGGCACCTGACATCAGCGTTCCCGGCACTGCCATCCCGTTGGCACCTGCAGGCGGCTTGTCTGCACCCAGCGCTCTCACAGTTTGGAGAGGGGATGAATGAGCGTTGGGTTAGAACAGCTCCCCGTTGAGCTGCACTTACTGCCCGCAGCTGCCAGCCCACACAGGCTGATGCCATGTGAACGGATGCTGCCCGTGGCTGCCGTGCAAACACTTCTCTCCCTTCCCCGACTCCTAGGGCAGCACGCTGGCCCGGCAGATGGGGGCAGTGGCCTACGTGGAATGCTCCTCCAAGGTCTCCGAGAACAGCGTGCGCGACGTCTTCCACGTGACCACGCTGGCCTCCGTGAACAGGATGCACAAGAATCTCAAGCGCAGCAACTCCAAGCGGGGACTGAAGCGGGCGTCTCAGATGCCCAGCAGGACGGACTTGTTGAATGACACAGAGATCAGGAAAGACCGAGCCAAGAGCTGCTCCATCATGTGACAAATGGGCTATAAATAATGTGTGTGTGTGTGTGGTGTTTGTTTTGTACAGTAACGGGCCTAGACAAGGGCCCGGCGCTGGCTGCGGGAGCCAGCCTGCCTTCCCAAGGCTTTTCTTTTAGTCTCTAGGACTGAGAGACGCTAGCTGCAAATCAGGGTGCATGTGTCACCCCCCCACCATGGAGACTTCTGGATTGGGTGTTGCTGTGCTGACTGCTTGGGATAAAGGAACCACTCAGCAGAGGAATATTCAGGTGCTGGAGAGTCTTTGATGAAGTGAAGAAAAAGGGAGAGAGAGAGAGAGAGAGAGAGTGTGTGTGTGTGTGTGAGAATCTCCTGTACGCACATCTCCCTGTGTATGTGCGGCTGTACCAACACACACAGCGCGCACGGGGACAGGTGGTGGGGTCTGGAACGGAGGCCGGAGAAGTGGGGGGAACTGTCAGTGACTGTTCCTGGGCCGAAGAAGTAATATCCCAATAATCTTTTAGGACCAAAAGCAGCAGGTGAGTCACTGGCGCCCAGCTGGTGACTCACCACTGGAAGGGACTGGCTCCGGCTGTAAGGCAGGGTCACCGTAGGAAGTAGGAGATCTGGGTCAGTGAGCTGGGAGGGGAAGGCTCCCTGGGGTGGACTATAACCCAGTGGGATTTCTAGTCAGCCCCGAGTGGAGGACAGATAATTTGCCCCTTCCGAGACATTTTACTTACATCCAAACGCTGTTTAAACAGTTGTGATATACCCGTGGGGAGACCTGGCCCCGGAGGAGAGGTCAGTCCCAGCAGATGCACCCCATGAACTGTGGTTCCCTTTAGCAAGCGGGTGCTATTCGGGAGAACGTGTAGAGCAGCCGAGAGCCAGGCGAGTATCTGTATTGCTCCCCGTCATGGGCAGCTGCACCCTGAAACATGCAGCGTCCCACAAAGCAATCCGCAATAACTATCCACATCCTGTTCTCCAGCCATTCCCAGCCGCAGATCGTGTTGCATGGTGCCCGTGTTTGGTTTGAATACACAAAAAAATATCCTCGCCCCCCCCCATCTCCACTATACCAGTGGGAGAGATGGAGCATCCTGCCTTGCTAGCCCCCTGTAACCAGCCTGCTACTGCCACCTCTCATTGCTTCTAATGTCCTCTAATGCCTTTGACTACAAGCTTAACTTTGACTTGATGTCACACAGACACTTTAAGGAAAAACACCAACCTCATTGCCTGGGCCCATCTGTGTTGATGGGCTGCAGGAATCTAATAAACGTCATTGGAAAACAGAAGGCGTTCGGCTTTGTTTCTTTTTAATGAATGCAGCAGAACTGGGGCCCCGCCCCTCAAAACGGGTTCATCATCTCGTTCCTGGTGGCGTCACTGCGGGTCTCACACACACACGGGCCTGGCATGTAAGGCTGCATGCAGTCAGTCTGGCAGCTCAGTACTTGTCTAAGTCGACATGCGTTCCGTCCTGTGTCTCTAAACCATTCACTAGGCTTGCAGCATGCTCCTCTGTCCTGTTAGCACTGGGGCAAAGCAGGCCAGTGTGGGCTGCACCAGGCTTCACTATATTGCCCTGGGCAAGTGGCAATAACTCTTGGCTCCTGATTTCAGTGGCTGGCACAACCAGGCCCCAGCAAGGCTAACGGCTTCAGTCTGAGCACAGCAGCTGGCTAAGGGTCTGGAGCATGAGAAAAGGTTAAAGGAATAAAATGTGTAGTTGGGATTGGGTAAAGTCTACTAGCCATGTGCAAATGGAGAAGGGCTCAGCAGAGCCGGGGGAGAGGGGAGCACGAGCAATGGGACGAGATGGGACCGGGCAAGGCGCCTTTCTCAGCAACATCAGCCCCTTCTCATGCCTTTTCAGTCCAGGGATCTCCAGGCATCCGTGGCTGAAGCCTCACCTCTGCTAGGGGCTGGGTCAGTGTCAATCTGGGAGTGGGCTGGCCCCCATCGCCCTCCTAGCCAAATGCCTCGCAAGGTTTATCTTTGCAGCACCTCTCCCAGGCAGGGCCGCTGGGGACGTGAGGCTCAGAACAGTGATTTCCCCAAGTCACAGGGAAAGAGGCAGGGCGGGGACTTGACCCTGAGTCCTCGGCCAGCCTGCAAGGAGCTAGATCAGCCTCTGCTCCAGCCTTATCAGCCATGGTTTGCAGAGAGGAAAACGGGCCAGAGCGGCAGTGGCAGAGCCAGGAATAGGGCGCAGAACTTCCAAGTCCCAGGGAAGTGCTTTAGTAACAAGACTGTGCTTCTACGCTGCTGTAAGGCCAATGGGTGCGTGGAACCGTGTCCCAAGGGGTGGGGCGCAGCAGCTGTAAAGGAGGGGTGGGTTCCTTCTCCTGTCAGGAAGAGACAAGGGGGTTTGCCTGTGTTTTGATTATGTTCAGTGATGAAGCATAAGCGTTTAAGGCCAGACGGGAACAAGAGCAGCTCACCTTACCTCCTGTAGAACGGGCCAGAGAATGTCACCCAGTCACCCTTGTCTGTAGCCCAATACTTGTGTTTGGCTAAAACAGCCTCGGAAAGGCAGCCAGTCTTGCTTTGAAGCAATGGAGACTCCACCTCTGCCCTCAGTAGTGTGGCCCAATGGTTAATCACCTGCCTTATTTCTAACAGGAATTTGCCTGGTGCCAGCTTCCAGCCCTCAGGTCTCGTTCTGCTGTCCTCCACTAGATTAAAACGCTGGTTAGTCCCTGGTACCGGCTCCCTACGGAGGTACTTAGCCACTGTTCTCACGGCACCTCGCAAGCTTTTTGATACACAGATTATGCTTTTTTCAGTCTCTCACTATCAGGCTTTTTCTCCAGCCCCTCAATCATTTTTGTGGCTCTGTTTTGCACCCACTCCAATTCTTCAACAACCTTTTAAATATGTGGACACCGGAACTGTATGAATTAGTCCAGTATCGGGCTCACCAATGCTGCACACAGAGGTAAAACCACCTGCCCACTCCACTGTTTATACAGCCCAGGATCGCATTAGTCCTTTGTGCCACAGCATCATCCTGGGAGCTTGTGTTGAGTCACTTGTCCACTAGGACCCCAAATCATTTTCAGCGTCACTGCTTTCCAGGCTATCGCTTTGCATTTGGCTGGAATAACATGCATTTCATCTGAACAGGCCCAGTTTACCAAGTGACCCAAATCGCTCTGTACGATTGCCCGGTCCTCCCCATTATTTACTCCCCCTTCTGCCAAGCTTTGGGTCACCAACCAATTTTATCAGCAGTGATTTTTTTATAATTACTTCCAGCTCGTTGCTGAAAATGTTGAATAACATCAGACCGAGTACTGATCCCTGCACTACCCTGATAGAAACTCGCCCATTTGACATCAATTCCCCACTGTTGACGACTACTTGAGCGTTGTCAGTTAGCCAACTCTTAATCAATTTCACATGTGCTTTCCTGGTAGTGTATAGTGCTAATTTTTTAATCAGAATGTCACAGTACTAAATCAAACACCTTATAAAAGTCTGAGGGTATTACATCTACACTATTAGCTTTGTGGTGGATTCTCCATCACTGGAAATTTTAAAATCAAGATTAGATGTTTTTCTAAAAGATATTCTTTAGTTCAAGCACAACTATTGGACTTGAAGCAGGAATTAATACAGGGAAGTCTTATGGCCTAAGTTATGCAAGAGGTCAAATGAGAATAGATGATCACATTGGTCCCTTCTGACCTTAGAGTCTATGAACCTTATCAGCCAAACTTGCTATCTCATCAAAGAATGACCGATTTTCCATAAAATCATGTTGACCGGCATGAATTATATTCCTGTCCTTTAACTCTATAGTAATTGAATTCCTTATTAGCTTTTCCATTCTTTTGCCTAGGATTGGTGTCAGGTTAACCAGCCTACAATTACCTGAATCATCCTGCTTGCCCTTTTTGAATACTGTTGCAACATTAGCACCTTCCAGTCTTCTGGCATTTCCCTAGTATTACACAATTTATTAAAAATTAACATTAGCAGGCTAGAGAGCTCCTCAGCCAGCTCTTTTAGGACTCTTGGGTGCATGCCATCTGGGACTGATGATTTAAAAATATTTATCCCTAGCAGATGTTGTCTAACATCCTCCTTAGTTACTAAAGGACTGCTATCCTCATGTGATATGAGTACATCATCCTGTTTTTTTCAAAATACAGACGAGATATTTATTGAACACTTCTGCCTTTTCTGCAGCATTATTAATAATTTTGCCATCTCCACCTAGTAATGGGCCTCTACCATTGCTAAGGTTTCTTTTGTTCCTAATATACTTTAAAAACTCTTTCTTATTGTCAGGTTTCAGAGTAGCAGCCGTGTTAGTCTGTATCCGCAAAAATAACAGGAGTACTTGTGGCACCTTACTAAGGTGCCACAAGTACTCCTGTTATTTTTTCTTATTGTCCTTCGCCTTGTCAGCCATGGATTTTTTTTTTCTTGATGTCTTTAGCTTCCCATATAAATTCATAGAATCATAGACTTTAAGGTCAGAAGGGACCATTATGATCATCTAGTCTGACCTCCTGCACAACGCAGACCACAGAATCTCACCCACCCACTCCTGTATCAAACCTACATCTGAGCGATTGAAGTCCTCAAATCATGGTTTAAAGTCTTCAAGATGCAGAGAATCTTCCAGCAAGTGACCCGTTCCCAATGCTGCTCATTTCCACTTGTGATCTAAACAACTCCAGAAGTCTAGTGGACTAACCCACCTTTCTACTAAGCTCCCTTGATCAGCTGGCTTTAAATTGCCTACATAACTTTTAATTTGTATTGATTGCAATCCACTGCCCCTTTTTCCATGGTGTTATATGTTGCTTTTCAATGTCTAATTGCTGTCTTCACGTCACCATTGAACCAGGACGGGCTTTCAGCCAAAGTTGTTCTCTTTTTCGATTGTGGAATTGTGGCTTTTTGGTCATCTTGTAAATATTTTTTTTAAGAACTCCCAACTTTCATTCATGTTTTTTTGTCATAATTTTCTTGGCTTTGGGAAGTTAGCTCTTCCGAAGCACCAGGTGTCTATATTATTGGTTGGGACTCTTTTTTGCCCATATTGAATGCACTCCGGTCACATTCCCTGGTCCCTAGGCAACCAGCAACTTCCAGTCAAGTGAGTAATTCATAAAGCCACCAGCTGTTGTTATCTAACGCACTGTTACGAGCACAACCTGGAAATAAATCTCTGATCCTGGGCATTGTATGAACACAGGTTGTACTAAGTATCCTGTATAACAAAGGATTAAAAAGCCATGATAATCCTCAAGGGCATGTTCTCACCTAAGAAGGGCTGGTCACACCCATCTCAGGTAAACATAGATGGGC